AGCGGTACTGCTTCTGGTGCTCCTTACCTGCGCTACCGAGTTGTAGCAGGCTTTGCCAGTTATGCCGTTGTTGAAATTATGGAAGTTTTGAATTGGTGCCATTGAAACTGATAGCTATATTGTTTTTGTGGTATTGCACAGAACCTACTTCTTATCTAATGATTGTTTCATAGTATGTTAGATGAGAGACGACAAGCCAGTGCATGTTGTATAGCAGCAAGGAGGAGGGGAGGCAGGAAGAATTCTTACTGGATTGCTGTAATATGTGAAGTGACGCATAGCAAAAAAAGATTGGGAGATGTTTATTTAGAATTTTATCAAGCAGTTGTGAAAGGAGCAGATGGAGCCTTTTATAAAAGAAAAGGACAGAAATTGGGGAAATGTAGGGAATGGTGGAACCTGTCAGCAGCAAAATGGCCGAGTTATATAGGTGCACTAGCAAAGATTCCCATCTCGTCATGTACGGCAAACCGGAAAGTGGGAGAGGGTTAGAATAATGGAAACCTCTGTACCTGTAATAAGCAAAAGACTTAAGCTTGTGTGTTTGAAGGGTGTGAACTGTGGGGTTTTTTTTTTTCCTCCTATCATAGCAGTCAAGAGTAGGTAGGAGGAAATTCCTCCTCTTGTAGGAGGAATTTCAAATATATAAGGTACTCTAGAGTTGTTATACATGAGATGACCCCTCTCCATCAAATTTTGTTTCACAGAGCTTTCCTGGTAGGAAAATCCAGTACTTTGGGAGTATGTTGTTAGACGCTTGACTTGAGAAAAAGTCTCTGCGTAGTACCAGCTTCTGTCTTTTTGTCTCCTATCCGTCTTTGGCAAGTAGGTTTCATCTTCCAGCACTTGGAATTTATAAGCCCTATGTGCATAAGAGTAGGGTTGGAAAGAGGTATTTGTGAATGGAGCATTAATTTGTCTTTTAGCAAGGATGGGAACAGCGCTTGTTTTAGTAAGTTAGGAAAACAGTAAAAAAAAAAAAAAGAATTGGTGGATACATAAAGTAAGAAAGATATGTTAAATAGAAAAGAGGAAAATTATGAGGGAGAAATGGATGAAAGATTTAAAATGAGGCTGGAAAAAGAAACATATGTCTTAGTGAATGGAGAAAGTGGTCTGAAAGCAGTAAAAGACAGTATGAGCCAAGGTAGGTTTTTAAAGCTAATATTACATACAAAATTGACAAGTGTGGTGTGTTAAACAATACACAACTATTTCATGCTTTTTCAGTTTTGGGAGGTGTGGTGTCTGTGTGTGTGTGCAAACACAGGTATCTTTCGCCATGGCTACTCAGTGTAGTCTTTTGACTAATAGATGCTATGTTTGTTTTTCAAGCCCTGCTAGGTGTTAGAATCTCACTCTAAGATGTTTTGCGTGGTATTTCCATATAGAATTAAAGTCTGTGTGGATTATGTGGTCTTGATGTCCCTAATTCTTTTTGTTTGCATGCTGTAATCAAACGAGTAAAGTCACTGAGGAAAAACTATAAAAAGGTGGTGCAGGTTACCAGGACACTGATGTCCGGTCTTTATATTGAAACTCTGTGCATAGTACCTTTATGGTATATTCACCTGGGGCTATTTCCTTACTGTGCTGTAGTTTGCCTTTCATAAATAACTAATCAACACTTTTAGCTTTAGTTAGCATCCTTCATACAAACAAAGATTTATTATCCTGTAATAAAAGATATCCTTTTACATAGACTGCCATGGTACAAAATGATGTTTGCTTTGCCAGATTAAATGAAATAATGAAGTACAGTAAATGTTCTTTGCTAATATTAAAAGAAGCATAGCTTTTTACTAATTTCCTTTTTTTAAACAGTCATGTTAAAATAAAATGAAGAATTTAAATTCTAGCATATATCTCACTGTAGTATATGTCAAGAGAGAAAGCATTTAATATTTTTCCTTTGAATAACCTTCATATCAAAAGAGAACAGTTGTGTGAACAGCGTAGGAAATCTAAGAACACAAAATATTTGTCATGGAAGATGTGAACTTCAGTATCAAGATAAAAAAATATGAATTAATTGTATTTTTGTCCATACATTATATATTTCTGTAATTAACAATTAAAACAGCATATGAAATAAAAACTTACCTAGGAGATATTTGATTGAAGCTTTATCTGTGCTCTGTCAGAATACACTGAGACTCACTCAGCAGATAGGAAGCCTTTTCTATTTGAAATGCACTCTCGTCTTGTGATTTCTTCCTCCACAGCGTCTCGTTCACTGCTGCTTAGTCTTGTGGTAGTGGTTGTTTCCAGCTTATTTCCATGTATCCCCAATATCGAATTTCTTCCATATTCAGCATTTTTTACTTACTCTGTCCTAGTGAAGTAACAGAAAAGAACCTGTAAACTTTGCATCTTTTCAGAAAAAAGAGGCAAATCTACTGACCCCAGTTAACTAAAAGTATTCAGCACCCCTTGAAAATTCATTAACAGATTTAGCATCCAGTAAATTCCATCTGTTTGCTGTAGGTTATTCCAACACTGAAAAGTTGTTTCCATAAACATGTGGTAGCCTCCATGTTTTACATTTCTTTAGGAAAAAAGCAGGATCGGTGGACTTCAGGTCTTAACTTTTAACCCAAGCAACATCATTTTGTGAAGAATGATGAGGGTCTGCCTCTCTCGGCTCCTAATGCTTCTGTCAGACACAGATGTGAAATGCTGCTTTTGAACAGGGGGGAAAAAATCCCAAAGGGTGTAGTGTTTTGTCATCTCTCAGGACAGTGAGCACGCATGGCATCAATGAGTAGCAGATATGAGCTATTCAAACCAGGCACTGAACTGACAGGATGACGCTTTCACACATAATAGACCCATTAATTATTTCTTCTGATGGACAGCGGTGTCTACCAGAAGAAAAAAGCAGCAGAGGATAATACTGGGTTTGATAGGTGTTCTCTGTTTGAACAGCTTGTCATCAAGAAATGAATCCAGGAAAAAGCTGCTGCTGCTTTTGGGTGTGATCAGGTAAAATGGACCAGAGCTGTTTTGACAGTAGTTTTGGTATATATGTATAGGGTATAGGGTTAAAAACTCCATTCAGATTAAGGCCTATTCATAGCTAGCTTTTACAAGAAAAAGATGTTGCAAAAAGACTTATTTTTGTTTTTGTTTTTTTAATTTGTGTTTTGTTTCGTGTAGCCTTTCGTTTGGGGAAACTGCCTATAGTCTTGTAGTTTTTTGTTTATAACTTGCAGTGCAGGTTAAGCCTATGCATTTGTGTGGTTTTCATCTTTTTGTTATTTGTTCCGCAATAAGAAACCTTGATTTATTTTAAACAATATTTTTCAAAGGACTGTGTTTATGAAAAAGAGGTGCAAACTCATTACACGTTTTTGTTGAATCAAACAAAGGCTTTCTGACTTAGGTATTTCTACTTAGTTTAGAATTTTAAATTGTTCTGATTTAATGTCAGTTGGATAACTGCTCTCTTGAGGTTAATATGTGGGAAATAATATGTTATTGGAAAGCCCACTTTAATGTATCAGTAATCCTTCCCACATAAATATGTTTTAAAAGATTACAGCTGAGATTTTCATTCACTGAATCCCTGTTAGGGGCAATGTGTGTTGATTGTGGGCAAAATAACGCGATGTTCTGAACTTTTCCTCAGAATGTTTTTTTCCCCCCCCTTGGAACTTTTATTTACTCTAACTTTTCTTTTTAACTTCTTGACATGAAAATGGTTTAAATCTTCAGTTACTTCTTTTTCGCTATGTATGTTGAAGGTGGAGAAAACATAAAATGAAATAAGAAAGATTATTTATTTTAGAATGGGAGTAAAACATGAAGAACTGAACTGAAAAATGGTGGGAGGAGGGGCCACCTCTACAGGTTTGTGCTTATTTCCAGTAAATATGAATAATTTTCATTGTACTAGCAGAGTTATCTTCTGCATTAGGAAATGATGGAATTATATCTGGATATAGCTTTCTTGATTTATCCAGCTGATAATGATGAGCACAGTTAAGTATTGTGCCCTTACGTATCACCAAGTGACTTTTGGAATGCCTTTGGTCCCTACTTTGCAACCTGTCTAGTTCCTGTCCAGATCCAAACCTAGTAGTACATGATTGCTGTAACTTTAAATCTGAGTTGTCAATCTTGTCCCTTTAGATAAGGAGTTGAGTTGCCAAGGATACAGTGGGTACATGATGTAAAGTCCATGCTAAAAGTGCTGGAATGAGGCATACTTTCTGAAATAACATTAACACTTTCTGTCTCACGATTTCTGTTCTCAAGTGTAGAACGCTTATCTGGAGTTACTGGCCTAACCTGAACTGAAAATGTTCTAAATTTGTCACGATATGTCATAGGGGTGCTTGTTCTCATGAAAACCTTCCAAAGAACTGGAACATGACAAGGCATAATAATATGTATGTGTGTGTGTAGCAATAAAACAACTATATGCAGTTTATATTTGCAGATAATCTTTCAGGAGACAAAGAACAAATGCCCCTGTTCCCCCTCTTCCCCCTCTCAAATCCCAAAACAGTGCACTCTGATATCTGCTCTGCAGTTATTCCAAAAGGAAGACCTGAAGTGCTAAGTAATTGAGCCTGCTGTATGCATGTGCGCGTGTGCGTGCGCACACACACACACACACACAATCAAATAAATAAACAGATTTTTTTCCTCTAAAGAACCAGACAAACTGAACTATTTGTATGTTGCTATCAGAAGTATTCTGCAACCTCAAATCTGGAGGCAAGAGTAAACTTGAATAAAGCAGCATATTAAAGTATAGAGTGACAGTGAACCTGATGTCTCGTGCGACCTGAATCTAAGATAAGCAGATGATTGGTGTAAGAATTCAAACGAGCTGGTGAAATGCTTCAAATTTGAAGGTAGCACAAGGAAGAGGAATTGTATTCTTAGCCTGGCACTCTGAAAAGCTTTTCTGTTGGGTCAAGCTTACAAAAGGAGTAAGCTATAAATAAACTGTATAACCAGAGGGAATAAATGACATCTCCAGGGGAGTGTGTTGCTAGCACGTCTGAAGTAGCAAAAGTTTCAAGCACTTACAGCTGTAACCTCTTAAGGGCCTGTTTTCTGTCTTGTGATTGGATGTCTAATACCTGGCAGTTGATGCTGTATCATGTAGTGTGTGATTAATTCTTGCAGAATTTTAGCGTCTTGCACCCATCAGAATGGCATAATGAGGTGTTCTGCCCTGGTAAAAAATGCCAGTAGACATGAAGTTCTCATACCTTTAAACCAGGAATAAGGAACCATAGGGGACTGGGGTACAGACCTCAGCTTTGTTTCATTTGGTTCATAGCAATGTTATCTTCTGCATTATTTGCTGATAACAGAGAAGCATTTATTAATGTGTAGCAAGAAAAAAGTTCTGCATTTCTCGAACAGACTTCTGTTCCAGTTCCCTCTGGTTTTTAGTGGTGATAACCTGAAGTGTTCATGGATGTACACATTATAGCGATGAGCCTTAACATAACCACTAGGTAGCTTTGCAAGCTTCACTATATTGAAACTATGCACATGAAACTATGTGTGAATAATACACTTACCAATGTTAAGAAGATAATGTTTTAAAAGTTGAATAGGAAATAAGCTCAGAAGTAGGCCTTCTTTAAAAATGTCTTAAATTTTAAGTGCATGAACATTCAAGTTGAAAGCTCACTAAAATTTCACTGAGATCAATGTAGCAATTGTATTTGTAGCAATACTGATAGCTTTGCAAATATGCTACTGCCTGTTCTAGCCCATTCATGATTAGTAATTTTTGGATTGTTCGGGGTCTAAAAGTTCCTGTATTGCCCCCTACTGTTTGATACTAATTTGTCTAATATACTGAGATTCTAATAAGTGTGAATTATCAATAAAGCCGTATCCAAGTTAAATGTTTCTAAAAATTATTGATGTGTATGATAGTTAGTAATGTTGGTTTTGCAAATAAAATTCAAAAAAAGGAAAATACTTAAAAGTGATCTCTAATGCTATCCCTTATTCCTTTCAAACATTTTCAAATTTAACAAGTATATGTTATTGATCTAACTAAAAGCTATGCAAATGGAAATCCCATTCTTAGCTTTTTTCTGAATTTTGTCATTCAGCTTTTATAGGTCTATATGATTGCCTGTTTCAAGTAAGTTTGATACCTTAGTGGGTGCTTTTCAAAGAAAAGAGGTATATTTATCAGAATTTTTAAATTGCTGAAGAACTTATGATCTGAAGAAAATGTTGTCATTATTCCAGCTTCTTTTGTTGCCTGTAAGTAGTTGTTGCTTTTGTGAACAAAATTATTTTCCCGTTTATTCTTCAGCGTTTCCCCCCGCCCCACACACACCTTTTTCTGTTTTGTTACGAGCTTGTTTCAATAATTATTCACTACTGCAGGTTAAATAATTCTGTATTATCAGTGGAATATGTAATCGTCTTCCAGCTAAATTAAATTCATCTATAAAGCTGTAATTTTCAGTGATAAGTTTAGAACTACATTGTATATTTCTAAGAAAAATCAGTAAATTTCTATATAAATGAAGACAAGTCTTCAAAAATTGTTTTGTAATCAACCAGATAATTAACGTTGAGTAATTTTTGAGTAAAACTTAAAAGCACAACTACTTGAATCTTAAGTTTATTTTGAATTGAACAGGAATATCTTCTAGCTCTCAATGAAAATAGGAACTTGTACTCTCTCAGCTCTTAAAACGGACGTCTTTTTCATGTAGTGAGTCTTCCCTGTCATCTAAAAACCGGTATGGAACAACAAATGTGAAGGAGAAAAGGATAGCGATAATTTAAAAGAGAAAGGAGTTATTGTTCCCAAGAAGTAAGTATAAGTCCTTAAGAGAACTGTTATTATGTCAGACATCTGAGGGCTTTTGCGTTTCTTGGCTTTTAGACATGGGAGTCAAGTTGATAGAGAAAGTGGCTTTAATGTGAAATCCTTTGAGAAGAAACAAATACTTTTTTCCACTCTTCCAGTGGAAGTCTTACTAGTTGGTGTATTTGAAAAGAATGCTTTTAAAAATTATGTGAAAATGATTATTTAACGTTATTTACAGTTGGTTTAACTGCTACTAATATTTTGTTGGAAGCTGAATAATTAAAGTAAAATTCCACTAGCAATATGTTTGCATCTATAAAATATTTTTTTGAGAACGTTAACAGTATTCTGGCACAGGCTTTAGTTAATATTTTTATAAATTCATTACACTTTATGTGTTTTTATATCTTAAATTGTGACTACCTTGTTATGATTTTTCATTATTTTAATATTGGAAACACCCCAAGGTTTCTGCTTTTGTCTGATACAATATTGGAAAAGTAATGACTGCTTCACAAATATAAGCTTCAATTATGTTTTTTTTTAAAATCACATTTTTATTAGTGGATCAGTATTTATGAACCTTTTGTCTGTATGATTTGGTCACATTACAGCACAATACTGTTACGACATAGTTGAGTTTGGTAGCAAATTAGAACTGTGTTGAAGATTGAATAGTGTAATATCATAATGTTAGATACATTAATGCCTAACTGTGGTTTTGTTAACCTGTGATGTCTGAGGCTAACATACTCAGTAGTTCTTGTCCAGATATCTTGACTCTATTTTTTTTAACTATTTGTACGTGCATGCACCAGCAACGAATAAGACCTTGAATTTCATTTGTTTTAGATTTTACACTAATGTGCCCCCCCCACCTAAAAAAAAAAAAAGTCTTATGATGACGTTATTCATTGTAGAGGTGAGGATTGTGACGACAAATTTTTAGAAGAGTTTTGGGGGGTTGTCGAAGACTTCTTAGTTTCGCTTATGCACGCTCTTACTCTTTCTCTCCCAAACCTGATAATTCTAGTTGCCATAACAACTTCATAATAGCAGAGCATTTGCTGCTGTAGTTAAGGTTGTGTCAGCACTTCCATTATAAGCTGCTGTTTTCAGGAATTTATAATTTTTCCAGAGGCTTAAAAACAGCATGCAGTAATCCTATGTA